CCTACTGGAAAAATAAACATATGTGAAAAATTTTAGCTTTCTATCTCAATTTGTTCGAAGGATAGCGTGTATACAATAGACAGACGGACATCGCCATTATATTATATAAGCTGATACAGAATATATATACTTTACCTATCTTCAATATTTCGAGGAGTTACAAACAGAATGACAAAGCTAATATACCGTCCATAGAATGGAGGAGGGTAAAAAATGGATAACATAAAATAATGTTAAAAAACTAAGTGATGATTTATTTCACGAAATAAATTACATATTCCTTTTTTTTTTGTCTATTTAAAAAAAAAATAATATATTTTTGTGAAAAAATGCAGTGAATATCAGTTAAATTTACAAATAACTACTCCTTTTATTGTCATATCACTGAAAAAATACAAAAAATACATGTGAACTCACAATGCACAGTGGTCGAGGTTGTATGGGAACAGCGGCCAAAAATACTTTCAGTGCAGTTATCAATATGATTCTATTTTTCTTCAAGTTTGCCTATTCAGGTCCACGTCGTCGTATAGGCATTCGGTATTTTTAAGATTTTAACAGAATTTTTAACGGATTTTATTTTATTTTTTATTTTTTTTTTTGGAAATTGTCAAATTTGTACCAAATGGTGGAGGGTATTAAAAGTTCGGCCCGGCCGCACTTACAGCTTTTTTACTTGTTATTCTTTCCGTAAGAAATTTATCTAATTCTTTCCAAGAGGATAAGGAAGATTTTTTCTTTTATGCTTTGCTCCCACAACGCTGCAGTTAATTTAATTTAAATTAATTGCCAGTGAAGACCAAAATTGGACCCCAGTGATCTAGACTACATCATAGGCTGATATGGCGGAAATGCAACTATTTATTCCACGCTGTAAAGTTTTCAAATTACAACTAGTCTCATTAGCGAACACCGGAAGATCAAATATGAGTTTGAGCTTATTATGATCCGAAATACGTAAGCCAGTAAGTAATAAGTCAACGCGATACTGCTATTAGTGAGCGGAAACTTTGACACGATTTTCCTGTTCCCACTTCTGTTTTTTTGCACCAAGTAACAAAACCTTTCAATGTCACTTGACTGAAAGTTATTAATGAACATGGCTGAGAAAAGATCCCGGAATGTGAGCCACGATTTTTCCTTTATTTATTTAAAACCCACAAAAAATTTGACAACATTGTCAGAGGTGCGAATAAATTTGATTAACTGACCGACATTGTTTGAGCAAAGAAAACCCAAAAATTATGGACAAAAAACTCGAAGAAAACACGAAAAATGTACTTTTTGTAAAATTGTACTTAAACAATGTCGGTCACTCCATCAACCCCATTTAGTCGCGCTTCTGACAATGTTGTCAAATTTGTTGTGGGTTTTAATTTAATTAAAATCAAAAGTCATACAGTCTTCAACATTGAAGTTCGAAACCCCGATTTCGGTTCAAGGTGTTGATTCAGAAGATATTTTTTCTTACTTATCTTTTTCTTACTTACGATTGCGATTGTATGTCGGAAATAAACGAAAAATTGCGACCCACATTCCGGGACCTTTTTTTACCCATGTTCATTAACTCTGAGCTAAGTGAAATTGAAAGGCTTTGTCACTTGGTACAAAAAACCAGAAGTGAGAACAGGAAAATCGTGTCAAAGTTTGCGCTTACTAATAGCAGTATCGCGCTGGCTTTTTACTTACTGGCTTACGTATTTCGGGTCATCATCAGCTCAAACTCACATTTGATCTTCTGGTGTTCCCTAATGAGACTAGTTCTAATTTGAATATTTTACAGGGTGGAATAAATAGTTGAATTCCCGCCATATCAGCCTATGATGTAGTCTAGATCACTGGGGTTCAATTTTGGTCTTCATTGGCAATTAATTTCAGTTAACGAAAGAAAGAATTAGACAAATTTCTTACGATTAGAATAAATATGATCTAAATATGATCCTATTGACGGAAATAATCAGCTCAAACTCACATTTGATCTTCTGGTGTTCCCTAATGAGACTAGTTCTAATTTGAATATTTTACAGGGTGGAATAAATAGTTGAATTTCCGCCATATCAGCCTATGATGTAGTCTAGATCACTGGGGTTCAATTTTGGTCTTCATTGGCAATTAATTTCAGTTAACGAAAGAAAGAATTAGACAAATTTCTTACGATTAGAATAAATATGATCTAAATATGATCCTATTGACGGAAATAATATTTATCTTTTTTAGTTTTAGTACTAATTTTTATTAAAAAACAAATAAAAAAAACTGTAAGTCCGAATACCATCCACCATTTGATACAACTTTTGTCACAAGCTATTACAATATTCCAATTCAATTCAAACTTGAAAAAAATCTGTTTATAATGTAGCTAAAATCATCAAAATACCGAATAGAGGAAGGTACCATAGGGGTTATAAAACGTGGACCTGCATAGACAATTTTCTGTCATAGGCTGTAGTATCCATTACGAATTTCAAATACAAAATTTGAAATAATTTCGGTAAATAATCTCGCTAAAATCATCAAGATACCGAATATTGGGGGTGTTCATAAAATTGCTATAATTTTGCCCAACACTGTTGGTTGGGTATTTACCGGCGCACTATGGGTAAAAAGCATGATTTTTTGGCATAAAGTCATTTTTTTTTTGGTTTCATATTTTGAAATTTAACTGATTTCCTAAATGTAGATACCCATATTAGAAAAAAAAATATGTAATATCAATACGGGTGGCAACCCTTTTTTGCTGGCGAGCTTTTAAAGTCAACTGTTTGAAAGTCACTTTGTTTTGGTACAACTGGCGGTAAAGATCAGCTAATTTCAAGTGCTTCTGATTTGACAAAATTGAAAAAAAAATAAAATGTCTAATTATGGAAAACGTTAGTGCAGGTATGTAAAATTAAGACGAGGTGCCCTTTTTGTCATAATTGTCTGTTGTTGTAATACTGTGAATTGTTTCGTTTATGTATAGCTTTATATAAAATCTATAAATTGTAGTTGTGTTCCGTGGAGTGTAACTTGTGAATGGCAAAGCATTGCAAAAAGGTATAAATGCCAAGTTATTAACAAAAGTGTGTTAATTAATGAGTAACTAGCCTTTTTTGTTCTATTTTGTGCCAACACGTGTTTTGCAGATAAACATGTGTTTGTCCATGCAGCGCTTATTGAAATTTGGAGAAGCAACAATCGCTCAGAAGATGCACTTGTGAAATATGTGTTACAGAATATCAATAATATCAGTTTAAATGAAGACCAAATGCGTTTGATATCAAAACAAGTGAAAGATTTTGTTAATTATATAAAAAAGCATTTGCCAAAGTGCATCCGTAAACTAGAGCGATTTAAAACTAAACATTCAAAATGGCTTAGCAAAAGTATAATTATTGTAATGAATGAGCAGTATGTTTCTCCAAATCATCATAGCCGATCGGCCAGATCGGCTATATAGCAGCTACATGAAATAGTGCCCCAAATCATATGAAAATTCGTAAGTCATCTTGGGGGGGGGGCTTAAAAAATGAATACAAACCAAATTTCACTTCAATAGCTTCATAAACAAAAAAGTTGGGTCAAATCGGCTATATAGCAGCTATATGAAATAGTTCCCCAAATCATATGAAAATTCGTAGGTCATCTTGGGGGCATAAAAAATGAATACAAACCAAATTTCACTTCAATAGCTTCATAAACAAAAAAGTTGGGTCAAATCGGCCAAATCGGCTATATAGCAGCTATATGAAATAGTGCCCCAAATCATATGAAAATTCGTAAGTCATCTTTGGGGTATAAAAAATTAATACAAACCAAATTTCACTTCAATAGCTTCATAAACAAAAAAGTTGGGTCAAATCGGCCAGATCGGCTATATAGCAGCTATATGAAATAGTGCCCCAAATCATATGAAAATTGGTAGGTCATCTTGGAAGCATAAAAAATGCATACAAACCAAATTTCAATTCAATAGCTTTGAAATTAGAGTTTATGCCAAAATAAACGTAAAAAAACCCATAGTGCGGCGGCCGCATAAATGGGATCATAACAAAATGATGTAAATAATGTAAATACATACACATACACACATACATTTATGCAGCCACCGGTAAATTCCAATGCTGAATTCTAATAACTAAGCATCGTCAACAGCCAAAACAGGTTTGATGTGACGATGCAAATGGGACAATAATTAGTTCTCATCGAATTCTAAGCGCGAACGCAAGTTTCCCCCCGAGTGACAAGTGGAAGTGTCAATACAAAAACACAAAATAACAAGACTAATAACATAACTTTTACAAAAAATAGAAACATAAAACAGTGAATTTACAACATAAAGAGCCAAACACAAAACAAGAATATACAACAAGAAGGTGAAATTGTACAAAGAAATTATTGAATTGCAAAACTTACAAACTAATTAATTTAAGAATACATTAATTTGAAACCTGTGAATTTAAATTTAGAAACTAGTGAGTTAAAACTTAAAAGTATACAAAAATAAACAAACTAAATAAAACTTATGAACTATTTAAAACTTAAAATAAATTATAAAAACCTAAAATCTAATGTTACAACTAAATTGCACTACCCCAAAAAATCTAAATAAAAGACTGAACTAAAACTGAAACAAAAAATATATCTTATAATTTAAACAGGCAAAAAAGGTAAGCCTAAAAACACTTGGTCCTCCAGAGCCGGATCAAAAAGTGGTGTTTTTTAAATTATTAAAAACAAAAAAAAAGAACAATTTGTGAGTGAACGGACAGACACAAGAACAGTGAAAGAATAGAAAAAAATACAGTGGGGTTCAAAAATAAGTACAGTTAAAAAAGTGTTGAGGAAAAAAACTTTGAAAAAAAAATTAATTACAAGAATTTAAAAAAAATAGACAGTACACAGTGCAACAAAAAGTAAAGTTACACAGTGCTACAAAAAAAATAATTTTTTTTAAAATTTTAGAAAAATTAAATTTCTTTCTTCAATTTTAAAAAATATAAAATCTAAAAAATTGATAAAAAGTTGAAAAAGTTTTTTATACAACAAAAAGACAATACACAGTGTTACAGAAGAGACGTTAAAAAGTGATATCCAAGAGACAATTTACAGTGACACAAAAACAACCACAACACGGAGAATTTTGGAGCCAGCAGTAGGACGGACACACGCAGCACAACAACAACAAACAAGGTACAACATCGAGACCCGGAAAAAACCCAAAGTGAGTACTAGTTGAAATTTCTTTTTTGACATAAAAGGGCATTTCGGGAGCAGGCAAATCTTCAATATTTGCATTGACCTGCATATTCGCTGAAATATTTGGACCTTGACCCAATTCAAATTTTTTGGAAATTTTTGCTCAAATTTTTGGATTTTTGACCCAAATTATTTGTTTGAAATATTTCTGCTGAAATATTTGGATTTATACATACATAATTTTCTCTAATTCTCGTTGCGAATTTTATCGAAAAATTTGGCGAATTTAGAAATTTTGAATCAGACAAATTTTCACAGCAATAATCAAAGTTATTGGCTTTTATAAAATAAAATCCTCCTGTCATAGGATATTAAGCGATTTTAAGTAAAAATTTTGAAACTTTTGTTCGACAACCCAACACACATTTTTTCTTTCGTTGATTTTTTTTTTTTTTTTTGGATTTTCTGAAACTTTTTGGAACATAAAACTTCTCTTTGACTATCAAAAAAGACTCTCCTTTTTTTTTGAAAAAATAGTTTATTGCAGCAAAACATCTCTGGTAATTTCTTCCTTTGCAATTCTCGTTTACACACTTTTGTTTTAAAAACTTTTGATTATTTGTCGATTTGCAAAAATAAAATCCTCCTGTAAGTGGACTTTAAGAGATTTTACTTTCCTTTCTGCTCATTTTGGCTAAAAGTTGACTCCTTCTGGTAACCCAACAAACATTTTTAATCAAATCAGTCCGGCGTCTAATACATAGAAAATTTTTTGAAATTTTTCAAAAATTTTGAAATTCTTGAAAGGAAACGAAATATAATTTGACTCAAACCAATAAGATAAGATCGTTTTCGTCGACAAAAATTGAAAAAAAAAAACTTATCCTCATTTCAAAAATAAAAATTTGGATAAAAGTTTAAATTCTAAACCAAGTTAGTCCTTTTCATTGGGCAACTTTTCTTTTTTGTAAACCAACAAAATTTCTTAAAGGTTAACGCTCAGCTTGCAAAATGGATAAATCTTTAAGCGATAAATTCACAAATTGCGTCAACGATCTTCTGGATTATATTTCAATTTTTTCAATAACCAAACCTGATGACACGGTACATACATTGGAAACAACAAGGATGGAGTTGGACTCTGCATGGGACCAGGTCAAAAGAGCATACATAGACTGCCGGGATTATGTTCCAGAAGAGGAAGGAAAGCCGATCGATAAAAATAAACTGAGAAAGCACTATATGGATACCATGGGATCGTACAAAAAAGCGCTGAGTTCAATAAATGGACAAATTCAAAATCTTTTGGATGAAAAGACACAGGAAAAAATGAAAAGAGAGTCAGAGATGTCACAACAAGGAAGGGAAGTGGATTTTACTAATGTATCGCGGCTACCTCCATGCGATACAGACACATTTAAAGGTGGTTATAGAGAATGGCCAACTTTCAGAGATCTATTTTCGGCAATTTACATAAACAACTCAAAATTAAGCAATGTCGAAAAATTATTCCATTTAACGCAAAAGACGGCAGGAGAAGCTAGAGAAATTATTTCACATGTCCCACTAACTAATGATGGATTTACATTAGCATGGAAAAATCTCACAGATCGTTACGAGAATAAACGAATGCAAATTAATGAAGAAATCAAGACACTTTTTAATCTACCTGGAGTTTCTACTGAATCAAGTCACACTATACAAAAACTACAACGCACTGTTAATAGCAGCATTCAGACACTGGGGATGCTTGATGTCGATGTTAAAGGATGGGATCCGATTTTAATATACATTTGTTCAACAAAATTACCTTGAGGCTTTTTAGAAGAATTCGAGAACTCATTAAGCGATTGTAAACAAATTTCAAAATGGGAACAGTTTGACGCTTTCTTAAAAAACAAATTCAAAACTTTGGAATCAGTTGGAAATATAAAGCCCTCTACATCGAAATTTGCTCAACAAAAACCAACTAACAATCACACGCCTAGATTTTTGAAAACATTTCAAACAAATGTCTCAAAAAATACAAACAACTTTGGAGGAAGACCTACTAATGTAATATTACCTCAACAAAATAAACAGAAAAATACTCAAACTTGTCAAGCCTGCAAATCAAATCATTTCATAAGAGATTGCAGCGAATTTTTGAAAAAGAGTGTGAATGACAGAATTCACATCGTGAAAACTTCACACTTATGCTACAATTGCTTTTCATCAAATCACGGAGTAAAGGATTGCAAAAGTCGCTTTGGCTGCCGTATTTGTACTATGAAACACAATACTTTGTTACACAAGGGAACGGAAACCCAAACAACCAACTCATACCTAGCTCGAGTGGAAGCACGACCTAGTACTAGTGCTGCTGCTCTTACAAATCAAATACAGTCCACTACAAACCTAGAACCAACTACTATTACTACTTTGACCCTCCAAGATAAGCAAATTTGTGAGCGACAATCTGGAGGAACACTACTCTTCACAGCAATAGTACAAATTGAAACCAAAGGACAACTTTACGATGCCCGAGCTCTAATAGACTCAGGATCACAATCCACCTTTATTTCGGAAAAGATGAAAAACTTTTTGAAGTTACCTACACGGAATAACTTAGTTCATGTCACTGGCTTAAGTCAATTTGTTTCTGAGACTTCAACGAAATCTTGCTTGTTCACTATGAGATACAAATACGACCCTAGCTTTAAACTGGAAGTCTGGGCTCCAGTTTTAAAGAACTTACCTTCAAATCTACCACCACAAAACTTAGATGAATCACAACTTCGAGATGTAACAGCATTAGAACTGGCTGACCCGAAATTTTACGTTAGTCAACCAATCGATTTACTTATTGGAATGGACATAGGACCATTAATATTCACAATTGGAACTCCAATGAAAACATTTGGATCAATTTTAACACAAAAAACCAAATTTGGATGGATAGTTGGAGGACCCATACCAGGAAGCATCCTTCAACGAAAACAAATATCACTTCTAAATACAACTTCAATAGAGAAAGTACTTACACGTTTTTGGGAGGTGGAAGAGACCCCTAAAAAAGTTTTACGGTCAGAAGAAGACCAATTTTGTGAACAAAACTTCATTGAAACAACAATACGGAACAAGGATGGAAGATATGTGGTGACTCTCCCATTCAAAAAATGCGAAGAATTGGGGAATTCCCGAAACATAGCCCTAGCTCAATTCTACAGAATGGAGAAAAAACTTATGAAAACACCAGAGATCAAAGAACAATATGATGCCTCAATACTAGAATACTTAGAACTTGGTCATATGAGGAAAATCAATCCGAATGAAATAGATAAAATGCCAAATTATTATCTACCACATCACGCTGTGATAAAACCAGATCAACTTACAACGAAGTTAAGAGTCGTATTCAATGCTTCTTGCCCATCATCAAACAAAACAAGTCTCAATGACATATTGTTTCCGGGACCCATTTTACAACAAGATTTGGTACTACAAATTCTAAAATGGAGATTTTTTAAGTATGCTTTTAACGCCGATATTACAAAGATGTATCGCCAAATGCTTTTGGATTCGAATCAAACAAAATATCAAAGAATTCTCTTTAGAAAGTCTCCGGAAAACCCAGTAGAAGATTATGAGCTGCTAACAGTTACATTTGGAGTTAACTGCGCACCATATTTAGCATTGAGAACTCTTCTTAAACTAGCAGAAGATGTAAAAGAATCATACCCCAGAGCCGCAAATATATTTTTGAATAATTTGTATGTTAATGATGTATTAGCTGGCGGTCACACTGAAGATGAATCAATAAAAGCTCGAAAGGAATTAACTGCCGCTTTAGACTCTGCCGGTTTTACACTAATGAAATGGGCATCAAATGATCGCAAAATAATACAAGATATTTCACATGAACATTTGCTACCACTCAATTGGCTAGACATTTCCGAAGATGCTTCAACTAAGACCCTTGGAATTCGATGGAATATCTCAGGCGATTATTTTTCTTTCACACCACCCTCAATGGAAAATAAAAATGTATCTTCAAAACGAGAAGTTTTATCAACGATAGCCAAATTGTTTGACCCATGTGGATGGCTGGCACCGGTGGTCGTCGTAGCTAAGTTAATAATGCAACAAATCTGGCTAGACAAAATTGACTGGGATGATCATATAAAGCCAATAACACAAATGAACTGGAACAATTTTGTCAAAAATAGCAAAGATATTGAATATCTCAGAGTTCCTCGATGGATTCGATACACGCTAGATGGTTCTGTAGAGATTCATGGATTTTGTGACGCGTCAGAAAGCGCGTATGGAGCCACTCTTTATATTCGGGTGGAAAATACTGACCATACCACACATACATTCTTGCTAGCAGCAAAGATTCGTGTCGTTCCAATTAAAAAATTATCAATACCCAGACTCGAGTTATGCGGGGCAGTATTACTATCAAAATTAGCAAAATCCATTGTAAATAGCCTACAAATATCAAAATATTCGACACAATTTTGGACCGATTCTACCATCGTCTTAGCTTGGTTAAAAAAGCCTCCTTGTCATTGGAGCACATTTGTTGGAAATAGAGTCTCGGAAATTGCTGATAATGTAGGACAAGAAAATTGAAGACATGTTGATTCGGAAAATAACCCAGCTGATATTGCGAGCCGTGGATGTTCGCCTGCAGAGCTAAAGACTAGTGATCTCTGGTGGCAGGGACCTCAATGGCTCAGAATGCCAAAAGACCGTTGGCCATCGTATGAAATCCCAAATGACACAAATTCGGAAGCCAAAACGGCAAAAGTCATGACCCTTTTCGCGGAAAAGGAAGACCCTTTAAAAAATTTCTTCTCTTTATCTAAAATTTATCGATCATTCGCATATGCCCTAAGACTCTGGAAAAATACTGGAACAAATAGGCAACACCTTCGCACCTCATCAAAAGACCTTACTTCAGAGGAAATCCAAGATGGAAAACGATCTTGCATAATTCGTACCCAGAAATTCGTATATGCAGACGAATACAACTCACTTATGAAAAAGACTCAAATTTCTCCTTCAAGTCCTCTCTTGACACTCAACCCGTTTATAGACTCAAAGGGTATTATTAGAGCAAATGGCCGATTGGTACAATCGCCAGCCCTTACCTATAGCGAACGTCAGCCAATAATATTACCACATGGCGCAAAACTTAGCAAATTATTAGTCGAATTCACTCATAAGGTTACTTTATACGGGGGTAATCAACTAATGACCCGAGTATTAAGGTCCGAATTCTGGATATTTGGACTCAAGTCGCTTATCAAACAAACCATACGAAAATGTCGAATCTGCTTAATTCACAAAAAACAAACCCAAACTCAAATAATGGCTTCGCTACCCGAACGCACTTTTCTTTCTCGACACTTTACAAACATAGGGGTAGATTTTGCAGGACCCTTTAACATTAAAAGTTATTCAGGAAGAGCCTGCTTTTTTACAAAAGGCTACGTGTGCCTGTTTGTTTGTTTCGCCACTAAGGCTATACATTTAGAACCCACAAGCGATTTGTCGACATATGCCTTTCTTGCCGCTTTTTCTAGGTTTATTAGTCGGCGAGGTTGTCCGTCTTGTATATTTTCGGACAACGGAACTAACTTTGTAGGAGCGGTTGATCTACTAAAGCGAGATAGATTAGCTTTCATGAAAAGTATTCAAAGTAGCACAATTCAAAATAATTTCACTCAAAATCTTACTTGGAAATTTATTCCTCCTGGTGCTCCGCACATGGGCGGCTTGTGGGAAGCTGGCGTCAAATCATTTAAAATTCATTTGAGAAAAAGTATCCCACAAATGAATTTTACCTTTGAAGAATTTGCCACAATTTTATCAAGAATTGAAGGCTGTCTCAACTCACGACCCTTAAGTCCTGCTAGCGACGACCCAAGCGACCTTTCCCCTTTGACACCTGGTCATTTCTTAATAGGAACACCTATTCTTACCCCAGCTGAACCAGACATTTCAGATACAGATTTAAGCTTAGTCAATCGTTGGAAAAGACTCAAAGTTATTTCGCAATATTTTTGTAACAGATGGAAGTTAGAATATCTTCACGAACTTCACAGAAGAACTAAATGGAAATATGAAAAAGAGAATATCAAAGAAGGAGATTTAGTTGTCGTAAAGGATGATAGATTGGCTCCGCATGAATGGAAGTTAGGTCGTATCGAAAAAACCTATCCATGTGGTGACCAAAATACAAGGGTAGTAGACATACGGACATCAAGTGGCAACATTAGCAGACCCATTACAAAAATTGTCAAATTGTTTTCCGACTGACTAGTCGGATTCTCACTCAAAAAAGAAGTTAGTACTCGCCTTAATTTCTTTTCAGATATGGCCGCTTACTTGCCCAACCAGGACTGCCGTCTGGACGTTCGCAACCGTAGCCCAGACTCACCTGCCCGTCCCACAGCAAGAAGCGCCAATCGACCCATACGGCCAATCCATCGTCCCAGTTCCACATCCCCTGAAAGGCGACAGAGAAGCAGATCTGATGTAAGACCCCGGCCACGTCATGAGAGACCAAGTTATTGGCAATATTCGTGTGGGCTCTGCCAAGATGACCATGCCCTCAGTGCCTGTGAACGGTTCCGCAGACAGACGCCCTTCCAGCGGTATGAGACAGTGGAGCGTCGGGGGTATTGCCGAAATTGCCTGGCGAGAAGTCATTTGGCCCCTTACTGCCCGTCTTTAACTGGTTGCCGGAGATGCAACGACCGGCACCATACACTTTTGCACGGGGCGTCTCAATTGGACGAGGTATCCCTCAACATAGAAGCCGTCACCGCCCCAGCCTTCGCATGGGATTTGGTTTTTGTACCAACAGCGATGGTACGCATAACGACCGAGGGCATGGAGGGTTTTAGTATGCTGCGAGCCATTATTAGCCAATCGGCGACGACGTCTAAGATTTCGTATGCCGCGTTCCGTCGCCTGGGTCTGCAGTCGCGAGAGTACAAAGGGGAGCGATTCACCACCTTCACCGTTTCGCCCCGCCGCACAAACAGTACTTGGAGTCTGAAGGTAAATGCAGTAATTATCGAAGATCTCCCAAGACGCATTTACTCGGACCCAATACTAGAAGACCCCACGAGATGCTTTACAAATTACGCCCTTGCTGACCCTGATCCCCGAGGAAATAGTCCGATCGATGTGGAACTGGGAGCGGACACGTACTCCGCCATAAGGAAAGATGGGTGTACAGCAGCTGGAATTGGAGATGTCCTGGCCTACAACACACAACTGGGCTACGTGTTTGCTGGGCCAATCAAGAACATGCCGAGGAACTGAAAACCGAGGATCCTTATGGTATATTACAAATGAATACTTACACTTGTCATTCGGGGCCCAGAAAATGTTCATAAAATTGCTATAATTTTGCCCAACACTGTTGGTTGGGTATTTACCGGCGGCCGCATAAATGGGATCATAACAAAATGATGTAAATAATGTAAATACATACACATACACACATACATTTATGCAGCCACCGGTAAATTCCAATGCTGAATTCTAATAACTAAGAATCGTCAACAGCCAAAACAGGTTTGATGTGACGATGCAAATGGGACAATAATTAGTTCTCATCGAATTCTAAGCGCGAACGCAAGTTTCCCCCCGAGTGACAAGTGGAAGTGTCAATACAAAAACACAAAATAACAAGACTAATAACATAACTTTTACAAAAAATAGAAACATAAAACAGTGAATTTACAACATAAAGAGCCAAACACAAAACAAGAATATACAACAAGAAGGTGAAATTGTACAAAGAAATTATTGAATTGCAAAACTTACAAACTAATTAATTTAAGAATACATTAATTTGAAAACTGTGAATTTAAATTTAGAAACTAGTGAGTTAAAACTTAAAGTATACAAAAATAAACAAACTAAATAAAACTTATGAACTATTTAAAACTTAAAATAAATTATAAAAACCTAAAATCTAATGTTACAACTAAATAAAAGACTGAACTAAAACTGAAACTAAAAATATATCTTATAACTTAAACAGGCAAAAAAGGTAAACCTAAAAACAGTGGGGTACCGTTGTATGGGGGCTATACGAAGACGTGGACCTACACAGACAATTTTCTGTCATAGGCTTTAGTATTCATTACGAACTTCAAATTCTAAATTTAAAATAGTTCCGGTGAATAATGTCTCTAAAATCATCAAAGCACCCAATATTGGGAGCTACCGTTATATGGGGGCTATACGAAGACGTGGACCTACATGGCTCACTTTCTGTCTTGGGATGTAGTATCCATGACGAACTTCAAATACCAAAGTTGAAACAATTCCGGTAAATAATGTCGCTAAATAATCGAAATACCGAATATCGGGAGGTATCGTTTTATGGGTGCTATACGAAGACATGGACCTACATGGCCCATTTTCTGTTTTATGCTTGTAGTATCTATTACGAACTTCAGATACCAAAATTAAAACAATTCCGGTGGATATTGTCGCTAAAATCATCAAAATACCGAATATCGGAGCGTACCGTTATATGGGAGCAATACGAAGACGTGGACCTACACGCCCATTTTCAACCATTTTACAAACGGAATGATAAACTTAATTTACCCTGCATACTATGGTGGAGGGTATAAAACATTGCTTTGCAGAAATGCAACATTCCGCTCAAAGCAGCGAAAAATTAAACTTATTTTTAAGAAGTATGAAAATTTTTGAAACAGTTTTTTTTTTTTTTTTTTTTTTTTTTGCTTTTTGTGTATAACCCTTGCAGTTCTTTTCTCAATCCTAACCGGCAAGTGCCCATCCTTTCTCAGCATTTATTCGCCGATACAAGAGTCATGCGTTACACATAGCAATATCTAATAGAATCGTCAAGGCCATTTCGCTGTCTTCGCATTTCCCAAGTATATCTTCTAGATCTTCAGTGGTTAATTTACTGCTCATTTTCATCTAAAAATAGTGAGTTTATTTACTTTACTTACTTACTTTAAAAATATTGGGAAAAATACATCGCATAACGCAATGTTGCATAAGTGCAACAAAAACACAAATCATTCCAAAACTAAAAAAGGAACTGATTATCCAAGAAAACGTTAACCGATTATTGAATTTTATTCGACGTTGGATATCCCGTTTGGACGTTCTCAATCGAATGTTGCTGTTAATATCCTTATCGTAATGCGTAACATTGTCTTATCCACACTTAAATGAGACTATGTTCTATGCACGTAGATTCTCTCACTTTGGTTTTCTCCTTGAATAGTAGTTTTAATGCTCTGGTAAAATGAGGTAAAATGCTAATTCAACTACTTTCTCATTTCATTCAATATTACAATGACAATGTACCTAAGAAATCCAGATAGTAATGTGAAGAGTACCCAGATCCAATTTGCAAAATTTTGAAATCTTCTCCAAGATTTAGTAGTCAGTAACAGTTTTTCATACTCCATAGTTTTAATTAATTCTGCTGTTTTCATGATAGCAAATATACTTGCATAAAAAACACTGCAACTTGGCCATTCTTCTGCTTCTTCCGCTGTTTCCCTCTATGTGAGAATACACGTTGAAAATTGTATATTCATTACAAGCTTCAGCAGATTACAGACGTTGGTTGTAGTGTCGGGGAGTCGAACGGCAGAGATGCCTTGTATGAAATGAATGATATGAAATTTTATGAGAAAATCATTTATCCTCGAAAATAATTTTCAAACATTGAAAATACCTTAAATCTGCAAGTTGTGTGGGGGATACGGGTAGAAGATTTTACTATACTAAAGTAAAAAAGCAACAAAAATAAACTATAACACGATATGAAAACTGGACTTTACCTAAGTTGCTAACTATCGGTAACATCTATTTTTTCCCAAAACCACAGGATGACTCCGAACAACGTAATTTCCCATTTTATACATTTTTAAAATGTGCGATAGAAAAAAACTGCAACCCATTTAAAAACAAAATTAATTTGTTTGATGATAGTTTGGCTGAATGACAATAAAAAATTTTTCTCTTTTTTGAATCTTTTTTCTCTTTTTTTCGATTGTCATCGACAATGATTTTCAGGGATCTATTTCAAATTACACAATTAATTACAAATTAATAAGAGAAATGATACAACACACAAATCACATATTAGCTTTATTGTAGAGGAAAACGTCTACTCTTATTGAACCGTCTACTTTTATTTCTATAAATAAGTGCACAGTGGTCTGTTTCAGTTTTGTAGTTCATTCTTTTTTCGGAGGTTAATTTTTGATATGTAACATTTCTAATGAAAATCGTCTTCTGTAGATGTTTTCTTGTATATATATACATCCTTTAAGTTCGGTTTATGCCATGTCAATATGCAATGTGTTGCTAGCGCCGTTTTCTGTTCTAAAGGTTTATCTGATATTTGATCCGATTTATGTCCAGAAAATCTAGTTTTTAATTTCGTTGTTGTCGTGACAATATGTACCTTTTCACACACATTGGTTTCGCCACCGTTGCATGCTATCTTATAAACTACAATGTTCTTGTCCCCCTTTTTAGTCTACGTTTTAGATCTACTGAGCATATTGTTAGCATTGTAATTGGTTTTTAAAGCTTATTGGTATTTATCGTTTTTTACGCGTTCGATGTGCAAAATCTCTCCGAAAATCCAGATATATACGTTAAGGTATATACATCCAGATGTTATTAGTTTTTGGTACCAATCTAGACTTCGATTGTTATGGTGTCTAATGATTATTGAGTCAAGATATAGCAGCTTACAATCTTCCTTTGATTCGTAAGTAAATTGGATTTTTTGTCGAATGTATTTTGTATCCTTAGTGTGTTTTCAATACTATTCAAAATATATAACCCACATTCTTCGTTAATAATCTCGTGTTCGCCATCATCTTTCCTACGGAATCGTCCAATAATACCTTCATTATGACCATTGGAAGTATCTGGAGTCTTTTACACAAAGAGTCAATATTTCTATAAATATTCCCAAAGACCGGGAAATGGTTGGTTAGTTGTGGGTTAATTGTACATCAGGCGGCAAAAGGAATACCACTGAAACAGAAATTAAAGCAAAACATAATACATGCTACATTTATTGGAAAATATAAACAAAATAACAAGGAAAACAATGTGTAGAACAATGATGGCGGTTCAAAGGCTAGAATGTACTGTGCAATATGAGCTTTAAAAACTAAAATGTATAAACAAAATTTATGCAATCACATGTGCAGAATAGATTTTTTCATATAGTTGAACTTTAATAGAGTTAACAATAAACGACTTTAATAAGGCAGAAGTAATTCCGACGGGTTCCACATAAGGCCCCGTAAATCAAAACTCAAACATTAAACTATAACTAATTCGATTCTATAAAGGACTCCCTAGAATGCATCCGTATTCTAATACTGGGCGAACAATCTTTTGGTGACATAAGGATCATCAAATTCCTTAGACCAGTGTTTTATGAAACTTAATAAGAACTTGGCTTTAAATGGAAACGTAGTTTAGGATATTAGGTAACACCGAGGTCAGGAGAGGAATCAAACTTGTTTAATATGTATCAACTGATAATATAGTATTGGCTGGGATCTAAACAAGGGAAATTTTCTGCATTTTTTAGGATTAAAATACATACCACTTGCACTGCAACAGTTCACAAGCGAATGCAAATTATACAGTAAGGAAATCGAATTTTTATGCTAAGTATAATGAAATCCAGCATAATCGAACAGACCCGTTCATAAAACAAACGCTTATTCTCTTCGCTTATCTGAAGACTCTTTTCTGAAACACATGAATCAATGCCGTCGTTTATGCACTACATAGAACCTGATAAAAAAAGAGCATAGATTCGCCTACTAAATAAAAGTTTCGCCTACTAGGTGAAGATTTACTAATAATAGTGAATTATATAGAATTAGGTGTAATATATGTATAACCTTTGCATAAACTAATTCGTCATTTGGTCGACAGCTTCCGAAGGAATCGAGTGGTGGACTGCTATCACCTCTTCATTTAATCTATCCTTTCTAAAAAGTAGACAGTTATTGGAAAATATCTCTCTACCAAGAATGTCTGTGGTTTGACGCAAGTTTCAGTAAAAACAACTATTTTATATTCACAATAGGACTTTTAAGGAAAATATTTCTCAATTTATTGTGAAGACCTCCTACATTTTCGTAGATAGATATGATATGATAGATATCTGTTGAAATTTTTACAGGTCTAGGAGTTTCTGAACGCTCTCCGCAAACAAATTCCTTTAGCAAGGCACCATCGGCCCTGTACAGAATACTTTTGAGCGCGGTTGAGGCGCTGGGAAATTCTAACAATTACAAAAGAAGATTCCAAAATATCAGTTTCCCAGCTGCGATAAAATATCACATGTGTAGAATTCAGTGATCTTGGGCGCTGTCGCATATGATAATGTGTAAAATAATAAAGGACATGACCCACACACAAACAGATATCGATGCACCAGTAGGTAGCCAAGACCACTTGGATGAAGGGACAGCAGCCATGTGATAAAAATAGATAAGAACAATTACGTGGCTGCGACTAGGTAAGTTAGATTAGTTTCAGTAGTACGTAAGGAAAATATTTTACAAAATAAAATCAGAATTGGAAAAGCATTCGAACCGTCAGGTTCTGTCTTTCCTTTCTCACTTTTTCTTTGGTCATTCCAGCCTTCACTTTTTAAATTGAAAAGAAAAAGCGACCTTTAAAAAATAGTAATAGTTTTTCCTCGCTAGTGGTAAGAGACTCTCTACAAAAAAGTAGCTTTTCTTTAAAAAAGAAGAGGATTGCTACAAACAAGTCCGTTGATGCATTTTAAATGTAAGACCACAGGGGCCAAAGGGAATATTTTGAATAAAAACCATAGGGGCAAAATAAAATAAAAAAGCCTTAGGGGCAAAATAAATCAAAAGAAAAGCCATAGGGGCAAAAATAAAAACTCCATAGGGGCAAACATCAAATGAAAAGCCGTTAGGACAAAAACAGAAATGAAAAGCCAAAGGGGCAAAAAATAAAAAAAGGTATCTAAAAGGGGACAAAATTTCCCAAAACAAACCGTTTTGAAACGTGAACACCAATATTCCTCACACGGACAACAATAGTCCTCACTCGGAGGAACTACGAGGAGCTGTCTTAAGAAATGGAGTCATTTCATGGAGCCTATTACTTCGTATTCTCCATGGTACAATGATATCAAGGTAGGGCTTTGATACCATATGATTTTAATTTTTTTATTTCCTTGGCTTAGTATGTCATCTTTATTTGTTTATGTATGTGTTTTCTTTTCAATAACACAAAAATTTTCAGAAAATATTCAAATTCGGGTGTTTTAAAAATGTTTATTTCAACGTATGCATCGACAAAATCTAGAGTTTTTGTAGCGAAATAATCCTTTAGAGATATATAGTACTTGATTTTGAAAAGAAGTGTTGACCTTTCATTCAGTTATCGCGTTTTTTCAATTATTTATTCAAAATAAATGCAACAAGTTCTTTGATATTTAATTGTTTTGATACTAATTCTGACATTACAAGCCAAACAGTTAGACCTCAATACTTGCATTTTTTTCAAAGTTGGCCTACCTTCTCTACATTGTACCATGGTATTATCTATATATATCTAAATATGTTTATATATAAATACTTTTCATTTCATATTGTTCATCACTCATTCTTTAACGTAATAATACAGTCCACTTAAAGTGTACACATTAAGCCACCGGGAGAATGTACTAAATACTTTGTACATACTTTTGAGCGCGGTTGAGGCGCTGGGAAATTCTAACTATTAAAAATGAAGATTCCAAAATATCAGTTTACCAGCTGCGATAAAATATCACATGTGCAGGATTCATTGATCTTGGGCGCAGTCGCATATGATAATGTGTGAAATAATGAAGGACATGACCCACACACACAGATATCTATGGGCCAGCCATGTAAAACAATATATAAACAAAGTGCCTGCGATTAGGTTAAGTTAGATAAGTTTCAGTAGTACGTAAGGAACCTATTTTAAAAATAAAATCAGAATTGGAACATCATTCGAACCGTCAGGTTCTGTCTTTCCTTTCTAACCTTTTCAGCGCCAAATTGAGCTACTGACAATAATAATATTTTGTTAGCCATATTCATTTCAAAAGGAAAAATATCACGTGGTTGAGAAGAATTAAATTTGAATACCTTTAAATCGTTATCAGATGTTATTTTTTTAATTTTGGACCTTATGTAGTTAAAAAAAAGTTTTTCCAAGCGCAACAACCACCAGCTGTTTAGAAAGCGACTGATCAAAATCCTCAGATAGATAGAAAAACTGTAACAAAGTCAAACGCCATTATTTTTACATTGTTTTTTTTTAAAAATTTTATTGAACGAAAACAAAAAATGTCAGAAATAGCATCAAATTTCAGAATATGGTTGGATTTGTTCGAATTGGCCACCTTTGGAATTCATTCCTTCGAACGGTCAGTGAAACCGTCACACGCTGCCCGAATGTTGCTCTGCGGTATTTTGGCCCATTCCCGGCGAAACGCTTGCTTAAGGTGATCGACACTTTGGTATTTTTTAGTGCCAACCTTGCTTCCCAAAATACTCCAGACGCATTAGTCCAACGGATTGGTATCCAAAGATTTTGGTGGCCACTATGCGCTGGAAATGAAGCGAGGAACCTCATTTTGTAACCATTCTTGGGTGGCGCGAGCTGAGTGCGAAGGTGCTGAGTCCTGTTGAAATGTCCAAGGTCTGTGGCCATAATGTTTGCGTGCCCAAAGTTTTAATACACCCTCTAGAATGTTTTCGCGATAATATTCGACATTTATTTTGATGCCACGGTCAATTAATA